CACGACTTCTGCTCTAGCGAAACGCCCCGCTCCTGCGTGCCGCAGAGCCGCCGTGGCCCGGGCCGGCTGCGCGTGTGCGTGTGCGGGGTGCCGAGCCCGAGTGGGAGCGTGTCTGCGTGCCGCGTGTGCGCGGGGGCGGGCGAGCGGGCGGAGAGCGCGGAGCCGCCCGCGCCGGGCAGCGCTGCCGGCGCCTCCGTGCGTGTGCCGGGCGGGTCGCGCCTGGGGCACAGCGCGCCGGCCTCCCCTGCCCGCCCATGGGCAGCGGCCGCTGCTCGCACCTCCCCGCGCCCGCCTTGGCAGCTCCACCTGGAGAAGGTGCCCGACCCACAGGCGGCGAACGCTGATGCCGTGAAGGGGGAGCTCGGCCCGGCCCCCGCCGCCGCACACTTTGCTCTGCCCCCGGCCGCGCGTCGTGCCCGGCGGCTTTGCCCGACCCGGAGGAAGGGCGCAGGCGGCACCTGGCGCCCGCGGCGGGGGCTGCCCCGACTCCCGCGGAATGCGGCAGTAGCACCCCCGCCCCGGCTCGGCACCCTCCTCCGCCTCCCCGGCTCTAGGGGGGCGCTTTTTCCTCTTTGGCGTTTTCTGCCGGAGCATCCCATTTTTTTCCCTCTTCACCCTTTTGGAGGAGGAGGAGGAGGAGGAGGAGGAGGAGGGGGAAGGAAGGAGGTGTTCAATGAGGGCTGCTCGGCTCACCCCCCCGCGCTTGAGAGGTGCTGTCCCTCCCTGAGCGGAGAGCGGGGAGAGCTGCCCGGGAGGCAGAGGCAGGTCCCGCTCCCTTGCTGTGCCGCCGGGGAGAGCGGAGGAGGGTGGTGGGGAGTCTGTGTGTGCGTGGTGGTGGTTATTTATTTATTTATTGCTCCTGGTGGTTGCAGCTGGCAGACCTGGGAAGGAGTAGGCGCCATTGCCAGAAGGATTATTGCCAGGGGAGGGGAGGGGGGGGGGAAGAGAGAGGAGACCCCGAGGCTCCCGAGGAAGCGGAGAGAAGCAGATCTTTTCCTCCCGCCTTGGCTTCTGCCGCCGAGGGATGCGCCCAGACTGAGAGGGGCTCGGCTCTCTTCCGCCGCTCAGCCCGTTCCCCCACCCTCAGTCCTCCTCCTCCTCCTCCCCATCCAGCAGCATGCATCCCTCTCCGCGGAGACCGGCCGCTGCCACCGCCAACCCTGCCATGCTACTGCTGCTCCTGTGCCTGGGCTGGGCGCCGCCGGGCTGGGGCTGGCCGCGGGGCAGCTCCCGGGGGGCGGCCGGGCTGCCCCCCAACGCCACCACGCCGATCTCCATCATGGGCTTGATGCCGCTCAGCCAGTCCGAGGAGGACCAGAAGAGCAGGATCGGCCGGGGAGTGCTGCCCGCCGTGCAGCTGGCCATGGATCAGATCCGCAACGAGTCCCTGCTCAACCCCTATTTCCTGGACCTGCGGCTCTACGACACGGAGGTAGGGACCGCCGCGGGCCCCGCGCCGCCGGGCGCAGGGGGAGGCGCCGCCGCCCAGTCCCGGGGCGCTGCGGGTGCCGGGGCGCAAGGGCAGCGCGGACGCCCGGGCCGGGGCTGCGGCTGCCGGCGGGGCCGTGCGCGCCGCCTCCGAGCCCCGCAGGCTGCCGGCAGATGTGCAGGGACCGGCGGCCGAGGGGGAGGACGCGGAGCCGGCGGGTCGTGTCCTGCCCGCCCGGTATTATCAGGAGCGGCTGCCCCGGCAGCTGGGGCTCGCCCCGCCGCCCCAGGAGCGCCCCTGTCCGGGAGTCGCCTGCAGCGCGGGGGTGGGCCCGGACGGGTGCCCGGGCGGCGGGGATGCTCAGCGGTGGCAGTGGCTGAGATCCGCTGCCCTTGGCACGCACGTACACCGGTGGGAGGAAACCCGCCTCGCCCAGCGAAGCGGCGGCCGCATCCCTCTGCAAGCCGCCACCCGCTCAGCAACAGATGCACGCCGGGCGCTCCGCTCCCCCGCTCCGCCAACGGGCTCACGCTGCCAGCCCGGCTTATCCCATGCGGCGACGGGACGCGAAGGGCAGCGGTGGCAGCCGTAGCTTCAGGAGCAGGCGGGGAGGCTCTCGCAGGGCTTCGCTGAGTTTCCCCCCGTCCCTGCCCTCCGGCGGAGCGCTCGCCCGGGGGTGCGTGGCGGGCGGGCGGCGGCGGCGGGGAGCGGAGGCGCTCGCTTCTCGGGAAGAACTAAATTTGCAGTGCCCGTCCCCGCGGAGCGCCGCCAGCGCGGCGGGATGCCTGCTCCCGTTCCGGAGCGCTGCCGGCCGGCAGGCTGGGAGAGGGGCGAGCCTGCTGAGCGAGGAAACACACTCCCTTTACCTGGCAGAGAGAGGCAGGGAGCGAGGAGAGGGCTTTGCCGAGTTGGTGGCCACTACCACCCGTCTACAACTGCCTTTGGTTTTTGTCACAACTTCGGTACCTGTGTGTTCGCGGAGGATACGCGCGGGTCCGGTACCGGGGCTCCCCTGAAGATGGCAGTCGCTTCTTGTGTAATGGTGGCGGCCGGGGCTCGCTTCCAAGACAACCCCCAGTAAAGCAAGTGGCTGCTGAAAATCTTCCCGGCTGTAATTTAAGGAAGCCCCTGTCTGCTCCCCTCCGGTTCTCAGGGTCCAGGGGGGAACAAGCTGAGAGCAGCAATGACAGGCTGTACTGCTTCGTGACAGCATTTCCGTCCCTGAAGTGACTACCAAAGGCCTCTCCTTCCAGGGTGGCTGCTTTTTATTGACATAAATTTGTCATAGTGGGGTTTTTTTAGGTATCTCTGAGCAGAAATGCATGGAGGGCATTACTGCTGAAGATTTCACTTAGAAAGGAGCAGGCTGCCATCCTGTTGTGTTGTGTGAACAAGACTAGATACTGACAGGGAATACAGGCAAGATCAGCCAAGAGTAGCTGCTTGTTTCCTTAAAAAATGAATCTCAGGGAACTCTGCAATTGTAATGAAAAGAATTATGGGGGATTTTCTGAATGGTATTACCTGTCTCATAAAGTGAGATGCATGTTAGGAAAAAATCATAGTTCTCCTAATCCTGTTTTCATTACGTTATTCTATATTAGTTCTTCCCTTGGATAGAATTATTGCAAAAATAACGTATGCATAGGAATTAAAGAAACCTAGGCAGGATGTCCCTTCTTTGCACAGTAACATATTAATCAATAAGGTGCTGCACTTTATTGCAGTCAAAATATTGTGATGTTCTTAGTAGATATTTTGGGCTCTGAACTAGGTAGCAATCATAAAAATACTCAGGAAAAAAAATTACCCAGTTTGTTCTGGAATGAGTATCGGTTTCTTAAAAATTGTATTTTTACTGTTTTGTACTCCAGGGACATAAGAAATCAGGGTCGTGTCGCCAGCTTGCTGTGTTGCTTTGAATGCTTTTAAGCAATTAATAAATGGATGGTTATGGAATGCTAAGTCAGGCGAATGTATATGTTTGCAGTACTGTTGGATCATTATTGTGTGCTTAATAGTGGCAAGTAAATAAGTTAGTGTTCATGAAGAGTGCTAGATTGACTGCACCCAAACAATACACTAATGCCTGGAACAGCCATTAAATACCTAATGGCAGCACAAACTTTTTCACTCGGTTCAGGCATTACCTTTTTCCTTTGGTGCCCTTACGGTAAGCAGGAAGGTAGCTGGCTCGTTGTGCCCACTTGATTCTCAGCCTATTTTCTGAGGCTGCCAATAGATAGATATGCCTGAAGGGCCTGGATCCTTATCATTGCATAATCAGAGACAAGGGAGTAGTTCTCCCTCTCAGGGCTTCACAGGTGGTGCTCATGACATTGTTGGCTCTTGAAAGAGAAAATGTAGAGCCTTGAACACATGGGAATTTTTAATAGCTTGAGAAATAATTGCAGTATATTTATAATGCTCAGGAAATGTATGGCAGTGATTTACTAACTCATGTATTCTCCCTTGTGTCTCTCCAAAATCTCCCATTGCAGTCTGATCCTTGTACTGCAATTTTCTGTAATAGTTAAATTAAGTGCTTGTGAAAAACAATAATCAAAATAGACTAGGTTTTTTATTATTATTATTTTTATGCATTCAAGTTTATTCTGTCAGGATTGAATTGAATATTCTAGCTGGCTTGATAGTTCTGGTTTGTATAAGGAAGCATTATAATGCCTTTGCTTTCTGACCAGCCATCTGAAGAGCTGCAGTGTGCCTTCTAAGGTCAACTGCTGTTTGTCAGCTCTTGAACTCGTTAACCTTTGAGGACATGAGCAGCAGCTCTAGTGTTTTTCAAAGCATTTAAATTGAATTAAGCACTTAAGTACAATGTTTCGTTTATGTCTCAGTCGAGATTGTGTGAATTACACATTACTTTGTTATGAAATATGACCACAGGTTGCATCACATACAAAAATGCAGAGGCTTCTTTTTGGATATTTTTTGATCTTTAAATATGCTTGGAGTGTGATCCTGATCCAGTCTATTTTGCTACTTCTTGGGCATGTCTTTATCTATTTGGGCATTCCTAAGCAGGCTCAGCCAATGTAACAAAGCTCAAATGTAGGCATTTGCAGAACTCTGGTCTAAGTGACTTTCTTTTGTGCTGTTCATTTCAATGAGAGTGGGAGTCTCTCTCTAGATGAGACTCTTGGGCAAAATTTCATAACTGTGTTATTTTAGAAACTCAAGAATTTATAAAGTGATCATCTCTAAAGAGTCTCATCCAAACCCCATAGAAATTAATGGCAGTAATGCACTGATTCCAGCGGCCCTTGGACCAAGTCCTAGAAGTTAAGGGTGCTTGATAGTTTATGGCTTCAGATCAACAACCATAAAACAATAGCTCTTCTTTTTTTTTTTCCCATCCCTGTGACGTAGCTTTAGTTGGTTGAAAAAGCAAACAAATATTTAGCAAAATAATGAAAGAAAAGCCTCTACAAACATTAGGTATAGCTCAAGATGCACAATAATCAGGAATGATGATTTCAGCTTAAGCAACCCTAAGTACACATCTGTTGGAGGAAAAAAGCAGAATAATCTTAAAATAAAGGCATTAATCATTCTAGTGGACTCTCTTATCAATTTCAACAGTATTTGATTTGCATCAGGCAAAAATTGACCATACAGTAATATATGGTCCATATAGTAACTGGATGAAGAGGCGTTGTGGAAGAAGGCAAAATAAGTTAATCGAAATTGGATATCTGTCCTTCTACATCTGGACATCTTCCCTCAAATATGCACTGGATTTTCTGATTTCTTGTAGGAGCAGTGCTGCAAGTGGTGCACAGACAGTATGAGTTTGTTTTGAATCTATAGTCAAGAAAGTACTATTTCTGAAGATCAAAGTGAGTCTTGACAAGCTAAAAAAATCAATCTTCCTGAAGTAAGTGGGTATATTATCACAAAGAGGAAAGAATATTTGTACTGGAGGGATGAGATTATTTAATTTTCTCTAACTACAACAAATACCTTGTGGTAATCATGATATAATCTCATCTTTGTGAAATAATACATTCTAATACCTTTAAATAGCAGGTTGGCATAGAGGGATGAGCTCTGGAAAATGCACAGGACACCACAAAATCTGAAGGAAAATGTAAGCTTATTGATATTTGATATATATTTGCTTTTTTCTATTCTGTAACTAAGTAGAAAGTGCTTTTCCTAATTTATCTGACAAGAAATTACAGTCTAGGTGTAGTATGTGTAGACTTTGTTTCCTTCTTCTTTTTTTGCTAAAAAAGTGCATGTGTTTTCAGTAAAATTCTCAAAGCTTAAGAAAGGCCATGCACCTGTCTGAGTCATTCTTACTAGCTATTCTAAGTTTTAAAGGACCCTGGGTCACCAAATAAAGATGCCTCTTCCTGAAAGTCCAGTCACGAGTGGTGTCAACAAAGTCCACTCATGTCTTGTTCCCACAAGTGGAAGTGAGAGAACTATTCACTTCTGCTAAGTGTGGGGAACACATTCTGGAAATAGGAGAGAAGATTTGTGTCAGTGGTACAGAATAAGGTGTCTGTCCACTGCAGCTCCGTATGGTGGTCCTCAGAGGGACAAACAGCTGATGGTTGCTGTCTAAAAAACTCCACCATTACTGTGACAGGACTGAGCAGGGGCATCCCCACCCCTTAAAGAAGTGCATGTGATGTGTTGGTTAGGCCCTCTGTCTTAGGAGGCATCAATCCAAGTCCCTCCAACAGTGCCTGGATTTGCAAGAGGAAGGTGGGGTCTCTGGGGGTGAGCCCTGTCATGCTTGAGAACGCTCTGAGCATTAAGTGGTCTGGAGCCTTATCTTGATTTCTGGAGTGCTCTCAGTGGGGCAGGTAAGACGGTGTTGTGGTCATCTGAGGGCAGCGGCTGAATACACAGGAGATGTCAGGGTCTGAAAGAGAGTCCAGTTTACAGCAGACAGAGCTGGCAGACATTTGTTCTTGTATCGTCAGGTGAGCATGTGTCTGGCATATGCTGAGGTAGTTAGGTAATTTCTT